GCAGGAGGGCGGTCCACGAGTCAAGGCCAGCGCCTGTCAGCTTGTCAAGTCCCGGGTCACCTGCAGGAGTCACCCGTCACACACACAGGGCCAGGTGGACACAGCTGCCAACCACACCCAGGTCTCCTCAGGGGGAGAGTCAAGAACCAGTGGGCCGGCCAGAGCCTAAATTTTAGGAGCCCCTTCCTGGGTGTGGGAGCCAAGAGGAGCATCTGGCTCTGGGGTCAGGGTAGGGTGCGCCCCCCACCCCCACCCGGTTCGCTGCACGTCTCCCCCAAATCCTCCTCGCGGCTGACCTCCTGCCGTTCCTCTGGGGCCACAGAGCGAGCCGGGTCCCACCTCCGAGGACAGGAGGGTCCCCGCAGGCCGCACTCTCCGGTCCCCACAGGTGGCTGTACCCGCCCGGCCGGCGTGTGCCCCTGTGGGGAACCAGCTCTGGGGGGGCTGTGCAGGGCACGGGGTCCCGGTCCGGGTCTGTACGGGGTCTGGGTCTGTGGGGGTCTGCGCGGGGTCGGGCCCTGTGGGCTCTTTGGGGTCTGCGCGGGGTCAGGCTCCGAGGGCGCCAAGGGCTCCCCGGGCTCCGAGGGTTCTGGGGGCTCCCCGGGCTCTGGGAGCTCTGAGGGCGCCGAGGGCTCCCGGCTCGCGCCGCGCCCGGATGTGCTGCCTCATGCCGCCGCCGCTCACCATACTCTCGGCCATGGCGGCCGCTCCCGCGTCCGGGCTCGGGCCCCGCGCCGCCGCCTGCCGCCCCGCCGGCCTCGCAGCCCCGGCCCCGGCCTCAGCCCCGGCCTCGGCCTCCCGCCGCCGCCAACGCCGCTCCAGCTTCGCCGCCGGCCCCGCCGCCACGTCCGGTGCGTCGCGGAACGCGTTCCCCGGGTCGCGCAGCCCCCGACGCGGGGTTCCGGCCCGGCGCCCCGCGCATGCGCGTCCCGCCGGCACCTCCCTCCGCCCCCGCCCGGACCGACGTGCGCGTTCTCGACCGGCGCGCGGGGGGCCTGGGTGTGCGTGCGCGCCCCCGCGCCTACGTGCCGTATCGGCCCCTGCGCCCCCTCAAAGCTCCGAGCTGGGCCTGGTTGCAGGCTTAAGCTTCCGAGGTGGACGACGACGCCTCCTGTGCCAGCGCGGCGGACCCTGGCACTGCCCCCGGCCGGGCAGCACTCCCCACTGAACTCTCCGGCCAGCCCTCCGGGAGGGATGGCAAGGGCTGAGCACCCCTGCCACACTCGGCCCCTGTGCTCCCGGGACGACCCTGGCCGTGCAGCTCCAGAACTCCAGGACAGGATTTGTCTCCCCCGCCCGCAGAGGCCCAAGGAGACCGGGAAAACGCCGGGAAAGCGCCGGGTGGACACGCAAGCCGGTGGCCGGCCCCTGTCGGAGCACAGAGCCCGGCGGAAAGAGCGGGCTGCTGGGGCCAGGGCAGATCCCCGCCTTGGGGCTGCAGACGAGGACTGAGGTCACTTGCCTTGCCCAAAGCCAACCCTAGTTGTACCCCTGCACCACATAGGGTCTCCCGGGGCACCAGAGGCCACTCCTGAACAAAACCAGGGACAGCCCCAGAGCACCGCACCGTGGGGCTGGCTCTGGGACTGACTCAGTTATCTGCAGAGCTACACAAGGACAGGCAAGGGACCGTCCTGCCCGATTGGAGGCATCTGGGCCAGGACAGCTGTCCTTGTCTGATGCTACTGGGGGGGGGGGGGGGTGGAAATAAGCTCAGTGGGTGAAAGGCAGGCTTAGCATGGGGAGCCAATCCCTCCAGAGGTGACCTGTCCCTACCAGCATAGAGCCCAGACTGGCCTGAGATAAACATGCAAAGGTGAGTCTTGGGCCTGGGAGAGGGTCAGAGGCTGGGCCACAGGTTTTGCATGTAGGATGCCCAGGTCCTGCCCCCAGCACCGCTGGACTCTGTAAATTTGATTGGGAGCAAAGCTGGGTGTGGCCAGAGCCAAACCGAAGAAGGGGAGCACCAGCAAGCACCCCCACCTCCTCACCCCTGCAGGCAAGTCAATCCCAAGGCAGACAGAGTGTGAATGAGTGTGGAAGGAAGAGAGGATGGCCACTGGATTTTATTGTTTAATTTTATTGATTTTTATTTTTGGTCTGGGGGGGCCACACCCGGTGGTGCTCAGGGCTTGCTCTAGGCTCAGGACCCAGGGATCCCATCTGGCTGACTGGGGGCTTTATGGAATTCCAGGGATCAAACCTGGGTCAGCCATGTGCAGGGCAAGCGCCCTCCCCACCATGCTATGGCTGTGGCCCCCAAGGGTCCCTCTTGGCAGGTTTGAGATCCGTGTGGGGAGCTAGGGAGTGAGCCCACTTGGTCTTGTGCCAGGTAAATGCCTTGGCCTCGGTACTATCATCCTGGTGGCCTAGGAGACTGATTTAAAAATACTGAGGCTCCCCACTGACAAGAGAAGCCTGGAAGTGTGTGCCAAGTCCCCCCTACTCCCTGGACTCCCCTGATACTGCTGACTGCCACAGGGGCGGCCACCTGGTCCCAGTGGGCAGTAGGGGCATGGGCAGCGTGCTGACTGCTGAAGTGAAGCCCCCCACATGCCCAGGCTGGGTGTGGGCAGGCTCCCAGGCACACATGAGGCCACACTGCAGGCCTGCGCAGAGGCTCCAGGCACAGAGCTTCCCACCCCGTGGCTGGGGATGGTGTGAGGCCCCTGTGCGGGGAGCTGAGAATTCCGGCCCAACCCACAAGGGGTCTCTGCAATGACACGGGGGCTAGGCTGGGCCACCATGGGAATGGGGGCAGGAAGCTATGGGCAGTGTAGGGTACGTCTCTGGGTGTGACTGTACAGATATGTGGGGTGTGCAGGTGTGGGGTATAGGTGTGCAGGTGTCTGTGGAGGTGTATGGGTGTGTGTGGGGATGTATGTGTAGGGGTGGGGGTGGAGGTGTGTGAGTGTGTGGGGTATGGGTTTGTGTGGGTGTGGGGGATGTGGGTGAGTGTGGGTGTGGAGGTGTGTGTGGGTTTGTGTGGGTGTGGGTTGTGGAGGTATGTGGGTATGTGTGTGGGTGTGGTAATGTGCGGGTGTGGAGGTGTGTGTGGGGTTTGGGTTTCTGTGTATGTCGGTGTGTGGGTGTAAGGGTATGGGGGAGTAGGTGTGGAGGTGTGTGGGTGTGTGTGGGTGTGGAGGTGTGGGAGTTGGAGGTGTGTACATGGGAGTGTGCGGGTATGGGGTGTGGGTATGTGGGGGTGGGACTATGTGGTTCTGTGTGCGTTGGGGTGTGTGCAAGGGTGTGTGCGGTATGTGGGTGTATGCGGCACTGTGTGTGCATTGGGGGTGTGGGTGTGTGTGGCTATGAGGGTGTGTGTGCATGGGGCTGTAGGTGACAGGGTGCCTACCTTCACATGGCCAACCAGGCTCAAGACCCCACAGGTTCCACTGAGTCCCGCAGGAGTGACCCCGAGCACCACCTCTGGGTGCCCCCAGACCAACAAGCAACAAAGGGAGGGGTGTCAGCCCAGGGCTTGCCCAAGGGTCCTGCTTGAGGACTGCAGACCCTCTCCAGGTGCTGCTCTTTGTTGTGGGCAGCCCAGAGAGATGAACAGCATGAAATGGGGGGGTGCAGGTTCCGCTATGGGGCTTTGGTGCCCACCCAGTCCCCCCCAGCCTGCAGGCATCCTCAGCCCCTATATGCAGGAGCGAAGACTTCCCTCCCGCACTGGCCTCTGTGTCCACCCCTCATCCCTTCTGCAGGACACCAGGGCCCCCTGGGCACTCACAGTGTGCCTGAGCACCCCAGGCCAGTGGAGTGCAGTGGCCTCCAGGAGGCGTGTGGAGGCACTGTCCACCTTCCTCAACGTCTCTGCTGGACTTGCTGATTCTGGCTGCCCAGCTCCCTGAGGGGCAGGTGTGGGGCGTCCTGCTAGGTGGCCTGAGAGTTCTGCGTGAAAGCAGCTGCCTGCTGCCCTTGGGGGAGCCCCCATGGGCCAGCCTGGAGCATGTCTGGCTCTGGGCACCGCCCCCTCCCAGAATGACCCTGATCTGCACTTCCTCATCCACCAGCCTCTCTGGGGCTGCCCCTCCTGTCACACTGGCGGCAAGTCTGAGTCCTCACCCTGGGGGCAGGCCGAGGGCCAGGGCAACACATGGCCACCGGCCACCACGCAGGCACACAGCACCACTGGGCAGCATGGCACCAGGGAAGGCACCCACGAGCAGCACCCACGGGACAGCACCCACGGGATGGCGCTCATGTGCACATTCCTATTTGAGTGTGTGTGCGCGAGGGTGGCTGGGAGTGTGACCCATGGAACCGCTCCAAGCTGACTCTGCGCCTTGCAGGAACTCCTGTAGCCCTCGTCGCAGGCTGGTGACCTGCCCTCCCCCCGCCCCCCCCCCCACAGCCCCAACCCCCAGGATAGGGCAACCTCTGTCGATGAGTCTGTGTGGTTCTGGACGGCAATGCCTGGTGGTTGGGTGGTGGTGGTGGGGGCTTGCTGGCTGCCCTGCTTCTCAGGGCGAGGTGGGGGGCAGCCAGCCCACCCCTCCAGATAGCAGCAGGGTGAGCGGCCCAGGTGCTGCCGTCCCCACCACGGGTCTCCTGCATGGCTGCCGGCCCCAGGCTGGACAGAGCCTCCAGGGGTTACTCCTAGCTCATGCACTCAAAAATTACTCCTGGTGGAGGTTGAGGACCCTATGGGATGCTGTGGATTGAACCCAGGTAAGCTGAGTGCAAGGCAAACACCCTCCCTGCTGTGCTATCACTCCAGCCCCACCAGCAATTTATTATTTTTTGGGGGTCACACCCAGCGATGCTCAGGGGTTACTCCTAGCTCTGCACTCAGGAATTACTCCTGGTGGTGCTGGGGGACCATATGGGATGCCGGGGATCGAACCCAGGTCAGCCGTGTGCAAGGCAAACACCCTACCCGCTGTGCTATTGCTCTGGCCCCATTAGCAATTTATTTTCAAGGAGACAGCAAGTGTGGTTTTGGAAGGGGCTGGTCCTGGGTTCCTGTCACCACCGAGCGGGGGTCTGGTGGACGTGGGGGGGAGCGTCTAGATGATCCCATACTGTGCCAGCTCGTGCAGCTCCAGGTGGTTGAAGGCCTCCCAGGGGCAGATGACCGTGATGTCTGGAGAAGAGGCCGCAGCTCAGGAAGACGGAGGGTGCCGCAGACCCCGGGGAGGAGCAGCCAGGCCCCTGACGCCCCCCACCTCACAGGAGTCCATTCTGGGCTAGACGAGGAACCCAGAAGGGCAAGCCCCAATATGCCCAGGTCCCCGAGGGCAGATAGAGCCAGACCCCTGCACAGGGAGCGCGAGGGACCCCAGCAGCCATACCTGTCCCCAGGCCTTCCATTCCAGGGATGTCGTCCCCAAACCTGCAAGCAGACAGAGTGCTGGTGCGCAGGACCCAGTGTGTCCGTGTCCGTGTGTGTGTGTATGTGTGTGTGTGTGTATGAGTGTGCCCTTGTGTGGGGCTTCAGGTACGTCCCAGACCCATGAAACAACAGGAGAGGGAGGTGGGGCGCCCCATTGTCCCGTGCTGCTGGGGCGTGCCCCCCGTTAGCCCCCTTGCCCTCCGCCCACGTTCTCCCCCTTCAGCCCTTCCTCCAGCTGTGCTCACCCCTGGACTCCTTTCTTGGGAGGCTTGCTCTTGAACTGCCTGGTCTGCCGCTGCTTGAACTTGGGAGGTCCTTTCCTGGGGGTGACGGGCCCCCCAACCACCCGGGTGGCCGACCGGATCTCAGCCTTGGCTGGCTCCATGTTCACCACGGTGCTGGGGGCTGCAGCACCAGGCAGGGCCGTTAACCCATACTTCCCCAGCTGTCAGTTCACCCCCCCCCCCCACAGCAGCGGAACCCCCAGCTCAGGAGAGGCCCCCTCAGCCTCTGCAGCCGTGACCTTGGCCGAGGCAGCAATCCTAAACCCCAGGGCCCCAGGGGAGACTAATCCCCGGGCTGCTTGGCTGCGCAGCCCCCGAGCCCCACCCTGCATGCCCCATACATGCCCGCAGCCTCTCGGGGACAGTACTGCCCACACAGCAGGGACAGGACTGACCTGTGGGGGACACTGTCCTCTGGGTCTCTATCGGGCAGCAGGCCTGGTGGTGTGGCTCTGCCCCTCCCTAATACCCTCACCCCCACCCCAAGGGGCCCAACACCACATGGTCCACTTGGTCACCACTGGGCCAGAGAGGCAGGAACTCCCCAGATAGGTTTTGGGGTGCCAAGATGCCGGCCCATGGGCAGGGCCCCCCACCTTGGGCCAGCAGTCATGTGGTGGACACTTACCAGCTCACCTGGGCGGGGCGGGTATCACTGGGCACCAGCGTGGTTCTCCCTGGGGCATCTGAAATTTATCCCAAGCGGGTAAGCGGCTTATGTGCAGTCATCTGCAGGCAGGCCCAGGGCAGGGTGGGGGTAGGGGTGAGACACGCCCACAGTAAGGCAGACTCACCCATAAGGAGGCAACTGCACACAAGAAGAGGCACCACATGCACACTGCAGACATGCCTCTTCCCATGTGTGCCACAGGCACGTATATATCCACAAACATCTGCCCACACATACATACATGCTGCAGGCACACTCACGTATTCCCACATATCCGTATTATAGGCACACACAACCACCTAACAGTACATGCACACTAAAACACGCCTGCCCGCACATACGCATATGCTGGCACAGGTACATGTATGTTCACATACACACACCTGCAGCCTGTACATACATGCTACACACAAACATATACACCCACGTACATATGTGCACCAACATATAACACATCACAGATGCAGACACACCAACGTACACACACACTGCAGGCACACATAGCCACATCTACGATGCACGCTGCAAGCACATGCCACACACACCGTTTACAAACATGCTAGGCACATGTGCCCATGTCTGCATGCATGAGCCGGTGTCTGCAGCATGCATGCTGCAGACACCGGCTCATGCATGTACACTAAGACACTGAACCCTTTGGGATGGGTCTTGGCAACTGGGATGCACACAGGGAAATGCTAGGACAGGACAGGACAGGGTGCTGCCTCGGGCTCCCCCCCATCTCTGACGTCATGCTCAGTTGTGCACACTGTCCAAGTGATGGGGCTGCACAGCCTGAACAAGAGTGGACAGCTCTGTGGCACACACAGAAGGGCATTGTCCACGCACCCAAGCTGCAGCTCAGGGTCTGCCGACCCCAAGGATCGGCCCTTGGTGCCCACACAGCCATGTTTCTCATGCATGGCCACGATGCCATGCAGAGAGCCAGCCCAGCACCAGGGCTAGAGGCATAGTACAGCCAGCAGGTAGGGCTTGCAGGCTGCTGAGTCGGACCAGTCCCTATGCTCTGCCAAGAGTGAGTACCCAGCATAGCCATGTGTGGGTGTCCCAATACCTTAAAAATTCCTGCACTAGGTGATTGTGTTTCTTCTTGGGGAAGGTTTGAGCCACACCTGGCAGTGTCGGCTCACGGGACCCTGTGTGGTGCTGGGTCAGCCAAGAGCAAAACCACTGCTTTTGTCCATCTCTCAGGCCCACATGCAGTTTGGAGGAAACCAGATCTTCCCCAGCCCATGTTTTGTGTTGGTTTGGAGCTACACCCAGTGGCTGGAACAAAGGTCCTTCCACCCTTGAGCTGCCTCTGCTAGAAACCATCTGTGCCAGACTGCTTGGGTCACCAGAATACGCCTTTCTGTCCAATGGGGCTGGACACTGTGTGACCAGATGTGTGGAGAGAGGCACACTCAGTTCATACCAGCCGGCTTTCTTGCCAAGAGCCAGATCATAAATGTCACTGGCTGAAGCTGCTTTCTGGCCAGTGGGTGGAAGCAGGGCCTCCAGCTGGCAAAGCCACTGCCCTCTGGGAGCTGCTCGGGGCCTGCCTGTCCCCTGCCCTACCAGGCCACCTCCAATGCCAACCCTTCCTAAGAGGCAGCAGGAACTCATGTGGCACCTGGGGCCAGAGTTTGGAACTTGGGGGAGCAGGAGATGTGAGTCCTTGGATTTGATTTTTGGGGCTACGCATAGACATGCTCAGGGCTTTTTCCTGGCTCCGCACTGGGGAATCATGCCTGGCGGGGCTCGGAGGACCGTGGAGGGTTCCAGAGATCACACCCGGGTCAGTCATGTGCAAGGCAAGTGCCCTCCCTGCTGTCCTATCGCTCTGGCCCAAAACGGAGTGCGTTGGGAATGCAGTTGGTGACAGGATGCTGGTTCTAGGGACAATGGCCTCAGTCTGGAGCTGGCCAGCCTGGAGGCACCGTCCCAGGATGTGCACCTGGCAGGCAGCAGGGAAGCAGGGCTGACCTGTGGGGCAAGGCCTGGGAAGGGGGGGCCCGCTGGGCACACACCAGGCGGACGCGGCCCGTGCTTCCGGGGAGCCGGTTTATTCCGGGTACAGCAGTGCGCCCACCCCGCGGGGCTGGCTCAGCGGCCAGCCCTGGCCCGGAGCTGGATCTCCATGCGGATGAAGGCCTTGAGGTTCTCGTCGGTCACGTGGCTGTCCAGCGCGGCCAGGGCGCGCTCGCCCCCGTCCTGGTAGTGGCGCAGCAGCGTCTCGGCGTAGTCCACCCACACGCAGTTGGGGCAGCCGCTCATGCAGCAGGTGGTCGGGGGCTGGAGGTCGGGAGGGGGGTCCCCGCGGAGGTCCGACGCCCCGGCGCCCTCCTCCCCATGGTCTCTTCCGAACTCTCTGCAGCCCGGGTGGGCTGGGATCCGGGCGCAGGAACGCCGAGGAAGGCCGGGGAGGGCGAGGTGGACCGGGCCCTGGGGATCACACGGGCCCATGAGTGTCCAGGGGCGGGGAGCTCCCGCCTCGGGAGGGGCCGCCCCGCTTCGCCCCCAGACTCGCCGGGCGCGGCTGACCACCCCCGGCCCGCCTCGCACGCAGGGCCCGGAGAGCTGCGTCCCGACCGCACCCCGTCCCCGCGGGTACTTGCCGGGCCGCGGGCGGCACCGGTCACCGCCCGGCAGGCCCCGGCCGCCCTCCGCAGCAGCATCACCGCAGCCGGCCCAGCGCGCACGCGCGAGCCGCGCCGGCCGGAAGCGGAAGCGGCGGGGCGGGAGCGGGCCGAAGTGCTTCCGGCAGCGCGGTATGGCGGGCGGCAGGCGCGGATCCGGCCGCGGCGATGCTGCTGCCGCGCGTGGCCGGGGCCGGCCGGGGGACTTCGGGCGGGCCCGCGCGCCGGCCGGGCCCAGGGACCCGCACGAGCAGGGGCTCCCGTTCCGGCTGCGCGAGATCATGCGGAGCCGCCAGGAGGTGAAGGCGCGGCTGAGCGGCAGGCGGCGGCGGGAGGGTGAGGCACCCGAAATCCCGCGCCGGCCTGGACTGAGGGGCCGGGCGTCGGGGCGGAGGTTGGGACTCCTCGGTCTGTCCGCTGCGGGGGTCCCGGGGCGCCCGCAGAGGGAGAGTTGAATCCCCTCGGGCCCCTCCACTGCCTGACGCGGCTTTACTGCCCGGCGGCCGTGTCTGGGTGAGTGGAGGTGTCAGCTCCCTCCCCTGGCCTCGGCCCTATGGACACCGTCACCTGCGGGCTGCGTGTGGCCCCAGAGTGGCGACTTGAACCCGGGAGGGGTGAGCGACGCCCCGCCGCCTCCGCCCGCACCCACCCACACCAGCGGCACCTTCACCCGCCCGCAGCCCAGGCCGTGTTGAGAAGGAAGTTGGAGGAGGAGGCGCAGGGGACGGAGCCGGACATCCCGGTGCCCAAGTTCAAGCGGAGGAAGGGGGAGTCGGACCGGGCGTTCGTGCAGCGCATGGAGCAGGAGGCCCAGCACGTGCTGTTCCTCAGCCGGAACCAGCCCAGCTGCCAGCCCGAGGCTCCCGCGGCTGCCAAGAAGTCAGAGAAGAAAAAAGCGTGAGTAGCTGTGGGCTCCCTCCTCCAGGCAGTGGGTGGTGACTGTCTCACTCCACTTTCTAGGTCCACGGGGCTTCTGACCCCCTCTGGACTCTGCAGTTCAGTACAGAAGATGCCGGTGTACTCTCGTTGCTGGGGGTCCTGGCCCATGCTCCTGGGCTTCCCTAGCCAGTGTCTGGTCCAGTGTTGCGTCTGAGTCATCCGTCTCCTCCCGGGAAAGCGGGAAGACTGGCTGGTCTGTGGGGCTCCGGGGAGATCCTGGCTAGCTTCTTGGAGGTGGTAGTTGACCCTGGGAGGGGCCCCCTCCTCCTCATCCGCGTCCCCAAAAAAGACAAAGGAGGAAAGGTCCCTGTGTCTGAATTCTCACCTAGTGGGTCAGGGAGGCTGCTGCGCCAGCCTGAAATTCACATTCCAGAAGCTGCAGCGGGTAAATCATGATGTCAGGCCCGGTCACACGTGCCGCTCTGCAGCGACCCGAGGGGCACCGGGCACAGGGATCCCTGCGAGGTCCCAGGACTGCCTGGTACCCCAGACTCTGTTGGGTCTGGCTTAAAAACCCAAATAAAAATAGAAGGGCAGGACTTAGTACAGGGAGGGCAGTGGTCTTGCATGCACTGATTCCTGGTACCACGTGGGGTCCCCTGAGCACGCCCTATATAGCCTACCAGAGAGGTAGGATGGGGGTAAGGTGCTTGTTTCGCACACTGCCACCCCCAGTTGAGCCCTGGTCCGCCAAGCACCCCCAGGTATGACTCCAGGCCTCCCGACATATATTTAAAATTTTGGTTGATGGTTTTGGGACCATATCTGGTGATATTCAGGGGTTATTCTTGGCTTTACTCAGAGACTAATCCTGGCTGTGTACAGACCATAGAAGGTACTGGAGGTCTAACTGGGTCAGCTGCGTGTAAGGCAAGCGCCTCCCACTGTGCCCTCCCTGCTACACTCCACAGCCCATGTGGATAATGTACACACACACAGGTAGAAACGTGTGGAGCTTCCTCTGGCAGACTCACTGCTGGTATGGGGCGGTGCCTCTGGACTCCATCCCCACGATTCCAGGAACACCTTCATGTGGGGCAGCCCTGGCAGTTGAGGGGTCAGGGACCCCCTGAGTGCTGGTGTGTGTGGGCCCGTAAGCTCTGAGGGTGCTGAGCAGTGTGGACTTGGGGTGCAGCAGGGTAGAGGTGTGGCCCCTGGGGGCTCTGCTGCAGACCCCTTGGGGTGGGCCAGGAGAGCCTTTGATCCCTCAGGAATCCAGCGAGTTGTGACTCGGAGCCTCTAGGCAGCTGGATTTCTCCGCAGGTTTCAGAAGCGGCGCCTGGACAGAATCCTACAGCAGCGGGCGGAGAAGGCAGCCGAGAGGCTGGAGCAGGAGCTGCTTCAAGGTAGTGTGTCCTGTGCCTCAGCCCTGCCTGGGCCCACTGCGCTGCATGCGAGGGCGGCGGGAGTGACTCGCCCTCTGCCTCTCCAGACCCGGTGAAGTTTGGGGACATTGTTCTGCAGCCTCCAGAGCTGACTGCCAGGCCTCGGGCCAGTACCAGTGTGAGCCAGGTAAGGGGGCGGAGGGTGTGTGTGTGTGTGTGTGTGTACGTACGTATCAGTGTGAGCCAGGTAAAGGTGCGGAGGGTGTGTGTGTGTGTGTGTGTGTGTGTGTGTGTGTGTGTGTGTGTGTGTGTGTGTGTGTGTGTGTACGTACGTACCAGTGTGAGCCAGAGGGCGGAGTGTGTGTGTGTGTGTGTGTGTGTACGTACGTATCAGTGTGAGCCAGGTAAGGGGGCGGAGGGTGTGTGTGTCTGTGTCTGTGTCTGTGTGCGCGTTCCCGTGAGAAGTCTGAGTTCAGCTCGGGTCTCAGTGCCCTGGCCTCAGCCTGTCTCTCTGCAGCCCGGCAGGAAGCCGCTGTTGCTGAGGAGATGCTTGAGCCCCACTGGTGCAGGCGAGACCCGGCCCCTAAGCACCTCGCCGGCCCGTCAGCGGATCTTGGGGGCTGAGAGAGAGCGCGCGGTGCTGGCGTACAGGGCACTAAAGCGGCAGCGACAGGAGACTCAGCCGTCCCGGTGAGCCCAGCATTGGGACACCTGCTCCCTCCCGCATGACAAATTCTGGGTCTCCTCATTCCCAAAGCGGACTCTGCAGGGCACTGTCTGCTGCCCACAGCTGGCATGGCTCGTTCTGCCCGATCTAGGTGAAGACTGCTCGAGACTGCTCGGCGTTGGCACAGACCCACTTCCGTGCCTGGTGCCCTGGGCACCTGGCCGGGTACCGTTGTAGCCTCTGGCTTCGGTTCATATGTGAAAGCCTCGGTCCCTACCCACGCCAGGAGGGCTTCAGGGTCCATTCTCCCGGTGCTTGGTGGGTGGTTGGTGGTAGCTGTGTTGGCAGCTCTACTCTTGGCTGTGGGCCTGAGAATGCCACAGTTCAGGTGAGCTGGGGGGGGGGGGGGGGTGGCGGTCAGCTCAGCCACAGAGCCTGCTGCTCCCGTCAGAACACCCTGGGGCAGGGCCACTCAGTGTATAGGTGTGTCACTCGGGTACTGACACTGGCAGTCAGGTTACCCAGTGTTCGAATTGAGGGGCGGTGTGGAGGTTCCCAACTCTCCAAGTGTCTCGCCACAGCCTGGTCCTGACCACAGCCCAGGGGAAGCGGTGGGCGGTAACAGGGACATGGCTGTGACCAACAGCCTCTGGCCCCCTCTTCTCTTCACTGTTTCCTCTGCTTGCCAATCCCTTCCCCACTTTCTGAGGCAGGTGTAAAATGCGGGCCTGGGTGCCTGCACCTTCCACTCCACACGTACTCATCACCCCTTCCCTCAACTCGGTCAACAGCCTCTGACTTACTGGCATTTTATTTTGCCTTTGGATCACAACCGACGGTTCTCAGTGCTTCCTCTGGGCTGTGCACTCAAGGATTGCCCCTGGCAGGCCTGGGGCACCGTACAGGGTGCTGGAGGTAGACGCTGGGGGAGCAGGGTGCAAGACAAGTGCCTCACCCCTCTACAAACTCGAGCCCTCATGTGTGTTTGCCATCCCTTCCCTCATATTTACCAATAAAGGGTAAAGTTCACATCTGTCTCCTCCCTGAGAGAGCCTGAAACAGACCTGGGAAACAGGGTGGTAGGTGCCCAGAGGTCAGGACTGACCTCTCTTGTAAAGTGAATACTCTGTTGTGGCCCCAGATCCCAGAGCTGTTGTGGGGTCTTTCTTCTCCTTGGAGGACCCAGTAATCTCTGAAGCCAACCTCAGCCCAACCATCCAGGGGTCACTTACCAATTTCAGTTATTCATTAGAACCTGGAGGGGTGAGGGTGAGTCACCTAGTGATGCACAAGGGTTGCGCCTGATTCTGCCCCGAGAATCACTCCTGGTCTGTTCAGGGGACCACATAGGATGCCGGGGATCAAACCTCGGTCGGCTATGTGCAAGGCAAATGCTCTCCCCCTTGTACTGTTCTTTTGGGCCCTCTATAATACAGTTTAAGGGAATATTGGGCTGTTGAACCCCGAAGTGTTAACAGTCTACAAGCATTGCAGTGCGCCCACCCTGAGCTATGTGAAGAAACAGTTTGCTCCCCTAGGACGTGGCTGTCTCCTCTCCCTCCTTGATGTAAGGCTGTAAACCATAACTTTATCATTATTTTATTTTATTTTGCTTTTTTGGGTCACACCCGGCGAAGCACAGGAGTTAATCCTGGTTCATGCACTCAGGAATCACTCCTGGTAGTGCTTGGGGGACCGAACCTGGGTTGGCCTCGTGCAAGGCAAACGCCCTACCTGCTGTGCTATTACTCCAGTGCCCTGTAAACCATTACTTACTTTAAACATAAGTAAGAATTGGAGCTAATCTTGTGGAATTGCTCATCCTTTGAGCCCCACGACCTATTTAGGAATAAGTGTTCCTGCTGCTTTTATGAGTCCTGGCCATCTCACCAGTATGAGCTCAGGCTGGGTGATGGGTCGCAGGAAGCCCTAGGAGACTGCACCCCAGCGACACCTGGCAGGACAATAACTCCGCCTGAAGTTTAGACTCAGGTGCCCTTTCCCTGGCCGACATGCATTCATCAGTGCACTGGGGCTCCGGGAAAAGCCAGTGACAGTTCTGGGGGTCGGCCCACTAGCTGGCCTCTGCGGGCAGCAGCGACTGCCAGCTACCCGGGCTCTGCTCCAGGGATCCGAGCCCACGCCAACACCAGGGATCTAAGCCAGGGCTACTGCAGGCCAGGAACAAAATCCCAGCGCTGGTCCAAAGCAGAGCAGAGGGACGCTCCTGCCCGCCCACCTTCCGGCGCGCTCACACTGAGCGTCCATTGGGCGGCGTCAGTTGACGGGCCTCTCAACTGCCAATCAGCAGCCCGACGGCCGTCCCCGTGACCACAGCGTCATGAAAGTCCCTTCCGGGGAACTGCCCGACAAAGTAGCTGCTGACGAAGCAGTTGCGGGGTTTCCTTGGGTGCTGCGAGGTGGTTTATGGGCCGCTGCAGAGCAGCGCCGCACCACCCCAGCGTGCCGTCTCAGGGTGCACACCTCCAGGGCCACGGGCAGGCCTGCCAAGCCTCTACCCATCCCCGAGGCCCGTGTCTAGATCTGCTCCAGTCCGGAACCTGCCTTAGCTGCCCAGTGCTGGGACTGGGGCCCTCCACTGTCCCCAACCCCGAACTAGTCAGACACCGCTCTTCCTGCGGAGCCCAGCCTTTCCTCACTCGACTTCACCTGCAAACCAGCAAATCCATGTCAGCACTGGGCTGGGAGGGGCGGCTCCAGGTTCTGCACTTGGCAGAAGCAACACAGTAGAGTCCCCAGATCACTTCCAGCTGCGGGCCCCAAACAAAAGACCATCCGAATTTGGTGGATAAGGAAAAAGGATAGGGCATTTATATTCCCACATCAGCTTGTGCCTTGAAGTTTAAGCCACTTGCCATTCGTGTCATTGACAGCAGGTGTGCCCTGTAAACAGGACCACTGAAGAACCCGGCCAAGGAATGACCTGGCCTGACCAGCACTTCCAGGACCCACAAGTCCTTGGATTTTGCAGCATCTCGGGAGTTAGAGAGGCCTTGTGAGTAGTTCATCTGTAAAAATGAACACCTAACATTTCAAGCTGAAAGCAGGGGGACTGGAGCTTCTAGTTTTTCTGCAAGCATGATTCATGGGCCAGTTCCATCTGACATCATCTACCTGGATGTCACAGGTAAGAGGGCAGGCAGTCCTACAAAAAGCTCGACGCAAAGATGCATGGAGGAAATGCAAATGTGTCATTTATGTCTGAGCCACGCATTTTCTTCCTGTGTTGAGCAAACAAAATCGTCTACCCTGTGTCTGACCCCAGAAATGTTCTTGAGATCCAGGAGGTTCGCACTGTCACAGACTGGCATGCCACGAACTCATGGGTAGGCAGGCTCTGCATGATCCCCCAGCACCCAGCCTGGAGTAGCCTCCAGACTGACAGGAACTTCAGCAAGACATAGGGGAACAAATCCTAGCATCAGCCCTTAACAGGACCCCAGCCCTGGATGTAGAGGCTGACTGTGCTGCCACCCATATCAGTAACAGATACTGGCTCTCCTGTCCCCCAGCCCAGTGACAGAGGCTGACTGTGCTTCCTATCCAGCCCAGTGACAGGCTGACTGGGCTTCTTGCCCAGCCCAGTGACAGAGGCTAGCTCTCCTGTCCCCCAGCCCAGTGACAGAGGCTGACTGTGCTTCCTACCCAGCCCAGTGACAGAGGCTGGCTGTCCTGTCCCCCAGCCCAATGACAGAGACTGTTTGTCCTGTGTCCAGTCCTGCTACAGCTGTCACTGGGCATCTCACTGTCACACCCCACATGTCACTGGACAAAGACCCTTGGTGCTGTTCCCTCCATGGTCCACTGTGGGCAGCCAGCAAGGGCCAGGGATCAAGTGCGGTGCCTGTGATGGTCCTGAAGCCAGTGCAGCACCGATGACAAGCCAGTGCCCTGGCGGGCGCTGACCTCAATCACAGTGATGTCCTGTGGGGCACAGGCAAGGATGTCCGGCAGCCTGAAGAGGGACTTCATCTCCTCAGTGGTCATGTAACAAGGCAGGTCTCTGGAGTGAGAAAGGAGTGGGAACGGGTTGCCTGGAAGGACGCCCACACCCCACACCCCACGCCCCGGCAGCCGGCAGGTCCGCACATTTTGTTGAAAAGAATCAGGACGGAGGCTGAGGACAGCTGCTCTGCCGACAGGAGTCCCAGGAGCTGTGAGCAGGAGGCGGAGAGTTGGGTGGGGTTGGAGGCGTCCACCATGAACTGCAGGGGAGGGGAGCCGTCAGCGCCCGCCCCCTCTGCCCCAAGTAACCTGGGTTCCACACGGGTCGGAAAGAAAACAGAGGACTTAGGGACAGGCCGATGCTGAAGCAACGTGCAAACACCGTGTTGCCTGCCACTCCGAGTATATACCCCGAAACCCAAGCCTCCCCAGAAGGAATTCCGACGAGCCTGGGAGAGGCTCTGTGGAACCGAGACCCGAACACGCAGACAGCGCGAAGGGGCCAGGCTGGGACCTACCAAGAGGGCACGGCAGTCTCCGTAGTAACTGGGCCAGATGGGGGCCATGCAGCCACCCAGCTCCCGGATGGTGAGCCGCCGCTGAGCGCCAATGTCCGTGAGGTTGGTGCCCACCTGCGAGAGAACAAGGCGCGGAGCTGGCCAGGGCGCTGCCGGCCCGGCCGCCTGCCTACCCGCCACCGGCCGCGGCGCTGCAGGGGCCGCACCCGCGCCCGCCTACCGTCGGCCGCGTCGGGGGCGGGTCGCCGAGATCACCTTTCCCGTTCAGGGAACTCAGCTGTGCGACTGGTCAAGGAGCCCAGAGTACGAGGCGCACGGACCACAGGACCCTGCCCCCGCTCCGTCCGCCGTCGCTACCGGACGCCCTCCCCAGCCCCCCAGCGCCCGCAAAGCCCCGTCCCGGCCTCGCGGCACCGAAGGATATTGTGCAGGCGCTTCACCAGCAGCGATTTGCCCACGCCCGTGGCGCCCAGCAGGAGATACATTGCGCGCGCCCCCGAACCCCCGCCCCGCCGCCCCCCGCTGCCCCGCCGGCCTGGCCCGCCCCGGGAGGCCCCACCCAGCGTCGGACCTTCTGCAGCTCATTGGCTCCCGGGACTTCCGTTTCCCCGAGAGCGGCCCAATGGGCGCCGAGAGTGTGCGCCGAGCGGCGAGGCCCGCCTCCTCGCGCCCGGGTCGGTGCCGTGCGCGTGCGCGCGCCCGGGAAGGCGGAAGCGGAAGTCGGGGGCGCGCCGGCGCGCACGGGAGCGCCGCGGCGTCGGAGCGGGTCTGGGGTCGCCATGGGGCGCGGCAGCGGCACCTTCGAGCGTCTGCTAGGTAACGCAGCCCGCCCACCGCCGCCCGCGCCGGCCCGCGCCGCCCTCCCCGCCGCGTCCCCTGCCCGCGGGCCTCGGAGGGGCGGGCAGGGCGCCGGCGCGACCCCCGGCCGCGGGGTCCGGCCGCGGGCGTGCGGGCAGCGCGGGGCGGGGACGCCGCCGCCGCGGGGACCCGGCGGCCGCGCCCGGGGCGCGCGGACAGAGCCCTGAGTCACGCGCGCCGGCCTGGCATCTGTGGGATCCGCACCCCTCCGCCCGGCCCCGCGCGCGACAGGAGCGGGGGGCGCCGGCGCGCGCTCCTGCTCGCCGCGGGCCGGGCCGGCCTCGGGGCCTCCGGACGGGGATTTGGGGAGACCCCGGGGAGGCCTTTCCTGCTCTCCAGCCAGTTGGCTGAAGGTCAGCCGGGAGGGCCAGCGCCCGCCGTGTCCCGGCTGCTGCCCGCCCTCCCCCACCGCGTCACGCCCCCCACCTCTGCATGGCGAGAAGTAACGGGTGCTCCAGACCCGACCCAGGACCCCCTGCCGGTCTGGGGGCAGTGCAGCTCCGCCCAGCAAAGCTCTGATTAGGGGCAGTGACCTCGCCTCTGCCGGGCTCCCGCGGCTAGAGCGGGTGTAGCAGGCACCAGTCCGGTGCTGCCTCCCGGGGCCCCTGGCCTTGCACTTGCGACTCTTGTCGGAGGGCTCTCCGCCACCCTGAGTCGGAAGCGCATGGGGAATGGGGAGAGGGAGCAGCCTAGGGGCTAGGGTGTCAGCCAGGCGGGGCCCTGGAATGCCACCCTTTTCCCTTCAGACAAAGCCACCAGCCAGCTTCTGCTGGAGACAGACTGGGAATCCATCCTGCAGATCTGTGACCTCATCCGCCAGGGGGACACGCAGTAAGTGGCGGACAGGCAGGGATGGGGGGCATCGTGAGGCAGCCTCGTGTGAAGAGACAGCTGGGCAGGTCGCCAGGATTGTGTCGGGGGAGATGCCTGGGTGGTGGCCGGGCAGGGTCTGCACCTGCACCAGGTACGGGAGCTCGGTGGGGACCGTCTCTGGCTCTCCTTGCTGATGCTGCCCGTAACCTGCACATCACCTCTGCCCTTAGAGCCAAGTACGCAGTGAGCGCCATCAAGAAGAAGGTCAATGACAAGAATCCGCATGTGGCCTTGTATGCTCTGGAGGTAGGGGCGCGCCCTGTCCAGTCTGTTCTCCTGCCTCAGCCTTCCCCAAGCCCCGAGCAGGGCTCATCCCCCCAGCTGGTAGGGGTGGCGGGGTCGCCCAGCTCACTGGCCGGCCCTTGCCAGGTCATGGAGTCAGTGGTGAAGAACTGCGGGCAGACAGTGCACGATGAGGTGGCCAGCAAGCAGACGATGGAGGAGCTGAAGGAGCTTCTGAAGGTAGTGAGGAGGCCGGCCCCGGGGAGCACCGGGCAGGGGAGCAGGGCCGGGCCCGCTGCCCGGCTGCCCTGAACTGGGTCGTGCTTCTGAGGCTTCTCTGGTGCTTTTGGGTCTAAGCTGAGGTGCTCCCCGCATCATCCAGTCCTGGGGCTGTGTGGACAGGCCCTTGCTCCTTTGGTGGGACCCTGGGGTCAGCCCCTGGAGGCTGACCTCAGCTGGGCGGTTCGGGGGTGGGGGGAGGGAGCAAGTGAGCAGGACCTGACCCGGGCAGCTGGGGAAACGGCTCCCACCCCGGCCCACCTGCGCACTCCTCCACAGAGGCAGGTGGAGGTGAGCGTCCGGAACAAGATCCTGTACCTGATCCAGGCCTGGGCTCACGCCTTCCGCAACGAACCCAAGTACAAGGTGGTCCAGGATACCTACCAGATCATGAAGGTCGAGGGTGAGCACCAGCAGGGCAATTCCCAGGGCCCTGGGTGGGAGGCCCAAGACGGCCCTGACCCCTGGGGCTATGGCCATGCAAGGTCCTGCCAGTCACTGGGACCCCTTCTCTGCAGGCCACGTTTTCCCCGAGTTCAAGGAGAGCGACGCCATGTTTGCTGCAGAGAGGGTAAGCGCGGGTGCCCTGAGCAGCCTGGGCGCAGGCGGAGGGCGGGGGGAGTCCTGCACCATCCCTACTGTCCCCCCAGGCCCCTGATTGGGTGGATGCTGAAGAGTGCCACCGGTGCCGGGTACAGTTTGGCGTGGTGACGCGCAAGGTGAGCCTCGGTCAGCGGGTCCGCTCCTCCCTGTGCGTGGGGTGGGCTGGGTGCTGAGCCCCTGCTTCATGACCCACCCACCTCCCCAGCACCACTGCCGGGCCTGTGGCCAGATTTTCTGCGGCAAGTGCTCCTCCAAGTACTCCACCATCCCCAAATTTGGCATCGAGAAGGAGGTGCGGGTGTGTGAGCCCTGCTACGAGCAGCTCAACAGGTGCGTCTGAGGGCCTCCGGGCTCTCCTCAGGGCCACTGACCACGCCCGGCCAGGCCGCAGCCATCGCTCCCAGAGGCCTTGAGAGCTGGGCCGGGCCCCGAGACAGTCTGTGTTCTTGCGGGATGCAGGGGGTGGGCCTCCCCGGGTGCGCACTGGGTGCTTGGGTGTGGGCAAGCGCAAGCTCTCAGCTGCTGGGCCCCCAGGAGGACACCAAGGGGTGTGGCGTGAGACTCAGGGCTCCCAGGAAGGCGGGAAGACACGACCTGCCTGAGCGGGCAGAGCAGAGCTGTGCCTGCGGCTGACTCCACGCCCTATCCCCAGGAAAGCGGAGGGGAAGAGCACGTCCACCTCGGAGCTGCCCCCGGAGTACCTGACCAGCCCTCTGTCCCAGCAGTCTCAGGTGTCCTGTCCCCCCCCAGCCTGGCCCTCGCCACCCCGAGAGGGACAAGCCGGCCTGCCTGACCTGCCTGTCCCCATAGCTGCCCCCCAAGCGGGACGAGACAGCCCTGCAAGAGGAAGAGGAGCTGCAGCTGGCCCTGGCCCTGTCACAGTCGGAGGCGGAGGAGAAGGAGAGGATGGTGAGCCGGGCACCCTGGGGGTCACTGTGGGAGGCAGGCCAGGTCCAGACCAGCCCTGATGCCCGCCCACGCTCCGCAGAGACAGAAGTCCACCTATGCTGCGTACCCTAAAGCGGAGCCGGCGCCCCAGGCTGGCAGCCTGTACTCGTCCCCCGTGGTGAGCCCCCCTTTCCTTTCCCTGCCGAATCCCGACTCGGAGCTGCTGGGTGGGTGGGCCAGGTCTGTACTCCAGGCCCGCAACCCCTGAGATCTCTCCTTTCTCAGAACTCATCGGCTCCTCTGGCTGAAGACGTCGAGCCCGAGGTGAGTACACCCCGCGGGCCCCTGGGCGGCACGGCCCTGCCCTCGGAAGTGACCCCTGTCACCCTGCAGCTCGCCCGGTACCTCAACCGCAACTACTGGGAGAAGAAGCAGGAGGAGGCTCGCAGGAGCCCCACCCCATCGGCACCTGCACCCCTGAGCGAGTCGGCGCCCCTGCCCGTGGATGGCCACGGCGTTCCTGGCCCGGTGCTGGAGGTGAGCGGACTCCCCGGACTCCCCACGGCGCCCGGCCCCTGGGCTCCCGGGCTCCCAGGCTCTGACACAGACGCTCTGCCCTCTGCAGACGGCCCTCCTGGACCCCGACTCACAGCCGGCACCTTCTCCTGGAGGCCCCTTCAGCGAGGTGAGGGCGTGGGGCCGCTGCAGCCCTATGGACCCGGCGTCCAGGGAGGTTTACCGGCCTACCTGAGGGTGGGGTGCGTGCCAGAGACCCGCAGAATCCAGTCCGCCAGCTCCATGTGTCCCCGCAGTGCCAGAACGGGGAGTCAGAGGAGAACCACGCGCAGTTCCTGAAGGCGCTGCAGAACGCCGTCACCACCTTCGTCAACCGCATGAAGAGTAACCATGTGCGCGGCCGCAGCGTCATCAACGACTCAGCCGTGCTGTCCCTGTTCCAGTCCATCAACGGCATGCACCCGCAGCTGCTGGAGCTGCTCAACCAGCTGGACGAGCGCAGGCGTAGGTGCCCCAGCCGGGCGGGCAGTGGGGAGCCCTCGCCCCGCGCACGCCCATACCCATGCCCTCGCCTCCCTACAGTCTACTATGAGGGCCTGCAGGACAAGCTGGCGCAGATCCGCGACGCCCGGGGCGCCCTGAGCGCCCTGCGGGAGGAGCACCGGGAGAAGCTGCGCCGGGCAGCTGAGGAGGCCGAGCGCCAGCGTCAGATCCAGCTGGCACACAAGCTGGAAATCATGCGGCAGAAGAAGCAGGTGGGGGTGGGGCCAGGGCCTTGGGGACGGGCTGGGGGCAGGGTGGGCCCGGCCCCTGACTGGTCCCTGCGCAGGAGTACCTGGAGGTGCAGCGGCAGCTGGCCATCCAGCGGCTGCAGGAGCAGGAGAAGGAGCGGCAGCTGCGCCTGGAACAGCAGAAACAGACAGTCCAGATGCGCGCCCAGATGCCAGCCTTCTCACTGCCCTATGCCCAGCTCCAAGCTCTACCTCCAGCAGGCAGCGTGCTCTACCAGCCCTCGGGCCCCACCAGCTTCCCGGGCACCTTCAGCCCAGCCAGCTCGGTGGAGGGCTCCCCAATGCACACGGTGTACATGAGCCAGCCTGCGCCCGCAGGCAGCAGCCCCTATGCTAGCATGCCCAGCTCTGGAGCAGGTAAGGGTGCCCATTGCTGTCTTGTTTCTGGGTGCGGATTTGGGGTCCTGGGAGGAGCAGCCGAGGAACTAGTGTAGGCTCTGCAGTTATGCACCTGTGGCCCTCAGCCATCCCTGTGCCCTGATGTGGTCTGGGCACTGTAGCTCTCAGACCCCTCAGCACGGCCTCGGCTGGTGGCCGTTGCTGGACTCTTGGGATAGTTGTCAGGAACAACAAGTGGATTGGTGGGAGCTGGTGGGGTGGGAACATGCAGGCCCTCACAGGGAACAGGGATTGGAGTGTGTTGTTTTGTTTCGGGGCCACACCTGGTGCTTGGAGGCTATTTGGCGACATGCTAGGGTAGCAGGCGGTGTGGGGATTGAACCTGGACCCCCGGGCAGAGCTTGGGCTCACCTGGGCCCTGGGTTGGAGACTTTGGACACTGGGCCAGTCACAAGCCCCAGTCGGCAACTCCCTGAAGTTGCAGGCAGGACCTTTCCCGCACCAGCCCACACTCCACCTGCAGGCCAGCCCTCTCCTGAGCCCTTCAGAACCTTCAGACTCTGCAGCAGAGTCACAGGTGGACAGGGATGTCCCTGAGAGAAGGGGAGAAGTCCTGCTGCAGACTGAGGAGGGCGGGGCTGTCAGGGCATGTGGGGGGGGGGGGGGACGCAGCTGCTAAGAGGAGAAAGCAAGGTGCTGGACAGATGTGGCCAATGTGGGTACTGCGTCCTGCACTGGGGGGCGGCGCTTGCCCCCCCCCCCCAGGATAACCCGGAAAGGACTGGCCATGGACATTGACCTTTCTGTGGTCAATCTGGGAGCCGGCACTGCCCACCCTGAGCTGATGTGCCCGCACCAGGCACTGTGCAGACTGTCTAGTCTTATCCCACGGGGCCCCTGCAGGCACTGACCTGCAGGAAGGGCCTGGCTGTCTGGGGAGCTGGGTCATGGGCCTGCCAAATCATGATGTTCTGTGTGACACAAGCCTGACTTCAGCAACACCTGACACACATGTGATGGGCTCCCCGAGCCTGTGGGGTGCAGGTGGACAGGGATGTCCCCGAGAGAAGGGGAGAAGACCTGCTGCAGGCTGAGGAGGGCGGGGCTGTCAAGGCACGTGCCCTGGGGGAGCCCTCACAGGGAGGGGTGGAAGGCAGCTGCTAAGACAGAATGCAATGGTGCTGGACAGACGTGGCCAGAGTGGGTACTGCGCCCTCCGCAGGCTGCCCCTGCACTGCGCGCGGCACTTGGCCTGCCCCTTCGCACCCTGGGTCTGGCCGAGTGGGCTCCTCTGTTCTTCGGAAAAGTGGAAGGATGCCCCCGGGTCTGATCCAGCACTTTGGGGAGTCCTCAGTGTGGTGGACTGTGGGCCAGAATGCAGCCGTCCTCGCGGCTCCAGCTGTTCTCTTCTCCCCACAGATCCGAACCTAGTGGGCGCCTACATGTACCCGGCTGGCACCACCGCCCCCGCCGCGCCCCCGGGCCCTGCGGGGCCGGCTGCCAGCCCGGCCTACTCGTCCTACCAGCCCACCCCGTCGCAGGGCTACCAGGTAGGTGGGGGCGCCCCACCCCCCCTACCCCCCCCACCGCAGGACTGCGGCGGTGACGCCTGCCAGCTCCCTCCCTCCTGCCTTCTTCCTCCCGCAGACCACAGCCTCGCAGGCCCCGCAGAGCCTCCCGGCGCTGGCGCAGCCCCAGCAACCGGGCGCCCTGGGCTACGTGGGCTACGCACCCTACGGCGTGCCCGTGGCCGGGGCGCCCCCCGGGCCCGCTCCGCAGAGCCTCCTGCCTGCGCTCCCGGGCCCCGACTCTGCCCTGGCCGCCCCGCAGCCGGCCTACGTGCAGGGCCAGCAGCCGCTGTACCAGCAGGTGAGGCCGGGTGCGCCCCGGGTGGGGCGGGCGCGTGTCGCGGGTTGACCACCCCGTGTCCACAGGTGCCGCCCTCCGCCGGCCCGCCGCCCCCTGGCGCCCCGCAGCCGCCCGCGCAGGCGCCACCGCCCGGCAGCGAGGCACAGCTCATCTCCTTCGACTGAGCCCTGGGCCGGGCCCGCCGCCCCGCCCCGCCGGGCTCCCCCCGCCCCCCGCAGGCGCGCGAGCGAGCCGTGCAATAAAGCCCTTCAGCCAGCCGCGCGTCCCTCTGTGCGCCGTCGGGGCGGGCGGGAGCCGCGAGAGGCTGGCGGGTAGAGCGTCCTTCCGGGAGCCCGGCTGCCTCGGCCCCTGCAGCGCCTCCCCTGGCCGGTGGAGCGCCGCGAACGTCGTCTGGTTCCTATACTTGGCGTCTGAGGTGGCTAGAGTGTCCTCAGCACTCGTATGCTCGGCGGTCTCGCCGGCTAGAGCGTCGTCCCGGTTCCTGTGCTCGGCGGCCGCGTGGCTAGAGCGCCCTTCAGACCCGCGTGCTCGGCGGTCTCGCCGGCTAGAGCGTCGCCCCGGGCGTCTTCCGGACTCGTATGCTCGGCGGTATCCCCGGGTAGAGCGCCCTCCCGGCTCCCGTGCTCGGCGCCTGCAGTGCCTAGAGCGTCCCCCGGACTCATATGCTCGGCGGTCTCGCCGGCTAGAGCGTCATCCCGGCTCCTGTGTTCGGCGCCCGCGGTGCCTAGAGCGTCCCTCTGCTCAGGGAGCCGCGTGTGACCTTCCCGCCCGTGCACCGATGCTGCCGGCGGCTACTCGCCCCCTCTGGGGGCCGTGCCTGGGGCTTCGGGGCGCCGCGCTACGCCTCGACAGGTACCGCGGGCGGCCGGAGGGCGGCGGGCAGGCGCGGCGGGGCGGCCGGGGGGCGGCGGGCGGCGTGTGTGGGGTGATCCGCGGCCCGAGCCCGTCCCGCGCGGCTGCCGGCGTGGCCCCGCTTGACCTTGAGCGGCGAACGGTCGGGCCGTTCCCGCAGCGTCTGGCACCTCCGCAGCCCCGTGATTGCGGCTGTCGGGGTCGGGGCGCGGCATGACGGCAGCTGCGTGTGCCTGTGTCTCCACGCGGGCCGGGCCACGCTGACTGCCATTTGCACGGGGCTGCCAGGCAGCAGGTGCCCCGGGTCTGTGCCTTCCGGCTCATGAGGTGCAGCAGCCATCGGAAGGGAGAGGCGCTTGCCAGTGCCCCCCTGGATAACGCCCCCAAGGAGTACCCCCCAAAGATCCAGCAGCTGGTTCAGGACATCGCCAGTCTCACGCTGCTGGAGATTTCAGACCTCAATGAGCTGCTGAAGGTACTGGGCAGGACCCTACCGGCCCGCTGTGTTCGGGGCACCCGGGGCAGGTGTGGTGGTCCCTGGGCATGGGAGCGGCATCTGTGTGCAGTCCTGCTCTCCTTTCCCCGCAGAAAACGCTGAAGATCCAGGATGTGGGACTCATGCCTGTAGGGGGCGTGGTGCCCAGTGCCCCCTCGCCCGCCGCCACAGCCGCTGAGGTGAGCACAGGCCTGTTCGCTGTGCACAGGGGTGCCTTGGTGACCAGGTGGCTCCTTGTGCTCTCTCTCTGTCCCCTCTGTTGGGTGCCTCCCCCCCCTCCACTTGTGCAGGCATCTACGCCTCAGAGAATTGGAGAATGGATGCAGGTCTCTGTTAGTGGAGGGGCGTGGGGGTGAGGGTTCAGGTCCATGCAAGGCAGGCTGCATCTCCTGCAGAAACCAGCACACACATGAAAGCCGCCTAGGCTTCTCCACAGGGGGAATGACCGTGGTATCTCTAGCCGTCAGCACCACTACTTGGAGCACGGGAGGACCCATCGGTGACTTCCTGTCCGCTTCTTGTTGATGAGTCCCAAATCCAAGCACCCTAGAGCAGAGCTGCCTGGCACATCAGCTGTGAGCGTGCCGCTGGCGTCATATGTTCTTCACTGTCTTGGGGGGCCCAGGGCCACACCCTGCAGTCCTCAGCCAATCAGCTCAGCATTTTGGTGCTGGGGTTCAAGGGTGTGGGTTCTTGGCCCAACCAGTGCCAGGAACCAGACTCAGGTGAACCGGGACGAGGCCTGCGCCCATCTTGCACCCTGCACTATCTTCAACTGTTGGAGGCTGTTGGTGCAGTTCCCAGGTTCTGCCCTTCCCCTTAGCTGTCCAGCCCCATCTGCGCCCTCCGCTGATGGCGGACATTTGATATGTGAGCGGGTCCAGGCAAGACTGTGGAGCCGGGGATCTGGGCCGTGGAGGTGCTGCCCCCGGTCAAGCAGCGGCTCGGCCCACACTCCTGCCCAGCTGCACTGGGCGCTGACAGTGAAGGAGCATGGGAGGGGAGGTAACCTGCAGCCTGGCCCGCACAGCTCTCTAGGACTGTCTTCCCTGTTCAGGTCCTACGGGATAGGCGAGCCTGGTGCCCTGGGGTCGGAACCCCTGCAGACCCCTCCTCTTCTCCCCACAGGTGGCAGAAGACGTGCCCAAGGTGAAGGAACGCACACACTTCACCGTCCGCCTCACAGAGGCGAAGCCTGTGGACAAGGTGAAGCTGATCAAGGAGATCAAGAACTACATCCAGGGCATCAACCTCGTGCAGGTGAGGCCCAGCCACCGCTCGGCCTGTGTCCCACGTGTCCCCCAGGGCAGGGCAGCAGCCTGGGCTCATTACCAACTCTCTCTTCAGGCAAAGAAGCTGGTGGAGTCGCTGCCACAGGAAATCAAAGCCAATGTGGCCAAGGCCGAGGCGGAGAAGATCAAGGCGGCTCTGGAGGCTGTGGGCGGCACGGTGGTCCTCGAGTAGCCGCCACAGGACTGGACAGGGCGTCCCTGGGACCCGGGCAGGCCCCACCTGTGCGTCTAGCACCCAGGCTCAGCAGACGGGGCGGCTCTGGGGCCACAAGCATGGCTCGTGGCCAACTGATGACCAACTGCACAGACGGACAAAAGGGACTGACCTTCGGCAAGGAGTGGGCAGCTGCCCGGCCAGCACCAGGCATAGGACTCCAAACCACCACTGGCCGCTACTCCTCCTGGTGGCCACAGAGAGAGACGGTTCGCATGTGTGGAGCAGGCAGTGGGTTGTGGGTGCTTCCTGACCCTGGGCCAACCTAGGCAGCACTGGCTTACCTGGGGACAGTAACTGCCTCCTGGCGTTTCGCGCCCCCCCCCCCGGGGGTGGGGGGCACCTGTGAACCGTTTTTAATTCGCGTCTACAATAATAAGTCAGCGCTGGCCTGTTGCGGCCTGAGGTTGCGAGTGTGTGTGGTGTGCGTCTGAACCTCTTCCTGGGACTCTGGGGCCAGGTGGGGGAAGGCAGGCTGGGGAGGGGTCCGATTGGTCCCTGGAGGGGACACCCTGCTCCCCTGATCACAACCAAACTTGTGCACCCACAAGCCCCGTTCAAAGAGCGGAGGGCCCAACTCCGCTTGGAGGACGCCTCAGTTAATGATTAGCCCACCCCTGGCCAGCCGCCCTCCCTGGACACCAGGCCTGCATGACTGCACTCTGCCAGCAGAGGGCGCCGTGTGTCGAGGCGGGCCCTCACCCCTCCTCTTGGCCTCTGCAGCCTGCGCAGCGCCGGCCTGGACCCTGGGGCCCTAAGCTTGAGCCACGCTCTGGCCTCAGAGACCCCGACCTGGGACTCCGCTTTGGTTCAGCCTGCCTGCGTTGCCTGCTGCCCCTCAGCTCCCCCTTCCCCCCCCTCCCCCGCGCTCAGGGGCTCCTGCACTAGGGTTGGCCCCGGACGCCTCAGCATGCCGGAGTCTGCTCAGCCCCTGACTCCTGCGGTCTCTGGATCCTGCTGGTAGCCCAGGCCGGCCCTTGGGTTCCCCATCATGGTCCTTGGTCAGTCTGGACGGGGGGGGGGGGGGGGGGGGGGACCTGCTCTGTATGCAGCTTCCCCGTGGGCTAAAGAAGTCTTCACAGGCAGATACCTGAATGCTCAAAGGCACCGAGTTGGTGTTTGCAGCGTCCCCAGGTCAGCTAAGGGCAGTGTAGCACTGGCCATTCAGATTATGCTAGGATGGGGCTCCTCCGCCCTGCCATGAGGTACAGCAGTGGTAGGGCTGCGGTCAAGCACAGGTCGTTCCCTGCACCCTAGCCTGGACACGCCTCACCTGTTTGCTTGGGGGGCTGGGTGGGAACCGCACCGGAACGGGCGTTTCCCGGACCGGTGGACTGGACCCGGTGTCGAGTGGACGGGCAGCAGCTGCTGCCGCCTTTTACGGCGTGGCCCTCTGACCCTGTGGTCGCACTGGCCAGGACCTACGCAGGGGGAGAAGCTCCTGCGCAATCAGGATCCCGAGGCCAGAGGAAAAGGTCTCCAGGCGCGGCGCTGGCCCGCGCCCAGCTGGCCGGTGAGCGCCTGGGGCCACGCCTCGGTGACCTTCGGGGACCTGGCGGAGACCTGTGCAAGGAAGGGCGGGACACCGAGCGGCCAGGCCCCGGTGCCAAGGTGTCGCGGCCAGCAACTGCCCACCCGGGCCAGGCCCTAGGCCAAGGGTTTAAAACGGCGACGCCTCCCGGTCGCGCTGACGAATCGGCAGCGCGAGACGCCGGTTCCAGGTCCCGCCTCCCCAGGGTGCTGGTGCAATCGCCGCGCGAGGCCGGCTCTCCGGGGCCCGCCTCCCCGCCGCGCCAGCGCATTGGCTGCTCGGACCGCCACTTCCCGGCCCCACCACCTCGCGCGCGGTTGGATTGGCCGCGAGGGTAACGGCGTCCGGTCCCGCCTCCGGCTCACGCTGCCTCATTGGCTGTGCGGGACACTGTCTCCGCGCCCCGCCTCCCGGTCGCGCTGGCTCATTGGCTGTGTGGACACGGTCTCCAAGCCCCATTGGCTACACGGGCCGCCGTTCCCAGGCCTCGGCCCCGGTCGCGCTGGCGCATTGGTTGCGCCGGCCGCGGGTACGGGCGGCGCTTTGAACCGGGCGCGGGGGCGGGGCGGGACGGCGCGGGGCGGGGCGGCCGGGCTGAAGGCCGAGCGGCCGGTTCGGGCCGGGACAGCCGGGCCATGGCTTCCGAGGTGCGCGTGTCGCGCTGGTACTTCGGCGGCCTGGCCTCCTGCGGGGCCGCCTGCTGCACGCACCCGCTGGACCTGCTCAAGGTGAGGTCGCGGGCCTGCGCGCCGGTCAGCGCCAGTCCCGCCGGGCCGGGGCGCCGGGGCACCTGCCCACCTGCCCCGTCCCGACTGCAGACTGTGCCCGGGGCGGGCCTGCCGCCACCTCCGGCTCCCCCAGCTCACCGGGGAACGCGCGCTCCGGCTGACCGAGGGACTGTCGCGTGGGGGGCACATGCTGGCCCCCGCACTCGCGCGCCCCGTCCGCTCCCTCCCGGTCTCTTCCCGCGGCCGGCTACCCGGGAGGGACAGCAGCCCGGCAGCCCGCGTCCAGGCGCCGCAGTTCCTAAGGAAGCGCTGTCCCCGGAGAGTTCGCCCGAGAGGCGTCCCTGGGAGCCCCCACCCCCAGCTCACCTGGGCAGGGCAGCTGGACTTCGGCAGGCAACGCTTGGGGGTTGCCGTTTCCCAGAGCTCCACCCCAACCCTGCACCCCTAGCACCCAGGACCCCCGGGCTCCCAGAACCTTCTCCCAGTCCCGCTGGTCCCCGCGGACTTGGGTGTCCGCCTGGCAGAGGCTGTCTGCTGGGGGGGGTGCCCCAGGCCCAGGGAGGGCTCTGCGGGTGCTGCCCTGGAGTCCCCTGCGGGGCCGGCTGCCCAGCCCTGCGCTGTCCCTCCCTCGAGGCCCGTGACCGAGCCCCTGGCCAAGAGAGGAGGCTACCTCAGGGCTGGCCCCAGGCGGGACACCTGCTGCCAGCAGGTGGTGGGGACAGGGGTGGCCCTGGGGGAGTCCTGTGACACTGTCCTCTCCAGGTGTGCGGAGTGAACTGGACACTGGTGCCCCGCGGCGGCTCACATCAGGGCGGGAGAGGGCAGAATGGGGCGGGGGAGTCGGTGGTGGCCCGCTCTGAGGGTCCTGACCTCCACCCCAGGTGCACCTGCAGACCCAGCAGGAGGCGTCTCTACGCATGACGGGGATGGCCGTTCGCGTGGTGCGCAACGACGGCTTCCTGGCGCTCTACAGCGGCCTCAGCGCCTCCCTGTGCCGCCAGGTGCGTGGGGCACGGGCAGGGGGACCTGCGGGGGGGGGGGGGCGGGGGGCGGGGCAGGCGATGGGGTGAGAGCTCAGACCCACATGGGACCCGCGGCTGGCCCTCTTCCACCCTCACCTGACACCCGAGGGGGCCCGGGCAGGGCAAGTGAGAACCAGACTCGGGAGTCTGCACACTGGCTCGCTGCCTGCTGCCATGGCCTGAGTGCCCTTGGGGTCCCGCAGGGGTCCTTCTGTGTCCCCACTGGGGCAAGTGGGCTGAGGTTGCAGACGTGCCCAGAGACCCCACCTGCGCCCCTGAGTTAGGTCCCTCCCCCAGATGACCTACTCCCTGACGCGCTTCGCCATCTACGAGACTTCTCGGGACCGGCTCGCCAGAGGCAGCGGGGGACCCCTACCCTTCCACCAGAAGGTTCTGCTGGGTGCTATCAGTGGTGAGCCAGGGCTCCGAGTGGGCATGGGTGGGCCAGGGCTCGGGCACCGCCTGTCACCCAGTCTGGTGTCCCTCAGGCTTCATCGGTGGCTTCATGGGGACTCCTGCCGACATGGTGAATGTGAGGTCAGTGAGGGCACACCCCCCACCCCCGTCAGAGGCTCGGCGGGTCTGTGGGGGTCTGTGCAGCTCCCCTGAGCCAGCACTCTCATTTCAGGATGCAGAATGACGTGAAGCTGCCCCCAGCCCAGCGCAGAAAGTAAGTGATGGTCACGTGCCGGGCAGGGACTTTGGAGGTGCCCCCCCACACACACACACATTCATATGTTAGTTCTGGAGTCACAGGAACCCGGCCCCCTGCCTGCCTCCTGGTTGGCGCTAAGAAGCCCGGCTGCGGGCAGGGAGCTAGCCCTGGAACCCTCCAGCACCCTCCCGCACCCCTGAAGCTCAACACTGAGGGGGGTGACTGGACCATGTCCAGCCCTGTTCCCCACAGCCTTCTGTTCCCACAGCTACGCCCATGCCCTGGATGGCCTGTACCGTGTGTTCCGTGAAGGTGAGGTGCTGAGACCCGCAGGAGAGGTTGGGGAGTGGGGGGAGGCACTCACCCTCTTCTTCCTCCAGAGGGGCTCAAGAGGCTGTTCTCTGGCGCGACCATGGCCTCCAGCCGAGGGATGCTGGTCACCGTGGGCCAGGTAGGCATCCCTGGGGGCCCGGGGGCAGGGGGCATCCTGCAGACCCTGACTCCTCCCTACCTCCCCCCCTTCCCCAGCTGTCCTGCTATGACCAGGCCAAGCAGCTGGTGCTGAGCACAGGATACATGTCTGACAACATCTTCACACACTTCATCGCCAGCTTCATCGCGGTGAGCACTGGGGATTGAAAGGCGGGCGCCCACTCATGCTGCTGCAGCAGGGCGAGGCTGGTCCCTAGGAAGGGTGAAGTGGGTAGGCCCCTGGTGATGAGCCCCCGACCGTCCTCCCCAAACCCCGCAGGGTGGATGCGCCACAGTTCTGTGCCAGCCCCTCGATGTGCTCAAGACCCGCCTGATGAACTCTAAGGGCGAGTACCAGGTGAGGCCATGTCCGGGTGGGTGCTCTCTGCATTGTGCATGACTGGTGCCTTAGTTACCACTTTCAGAAGACAGGAAGGGAAGCAGGCAGGGCCCCCTGCCCTGGTCTGTCACACCCATCTCACCACGGTTGTCCCTTTTCTGACCCGTCACCTTTGACCTTCAGGCAGCTCCTTGCCATGGGCCATCAAGATCATGGCTCATGTGTTGGGGGCACTTGGGTGGATCTCTTAATTTCCTTTCAATTTCCTCCTCAGGGCGTCCTCCACTGTGCCAAGGAGACGGCCAAGCTGGGGCCACTGGCCTTCTACAAGGTGGGGGCGGGGTTTCCCCGGGCTGGTCCCTCCCAGGATCCCATCGGGGGTGGGGCTTCTCCCTGGGTGGGGCTTTTCTCCAGGGGCTGGGGGGGGCTCCTCTCTGGGGGCGGGCTTCCCTCTGGGTGGGGCTTTTCTCCAGGGGTGGGGCTCCTCCCTGGGGGCAGGGCTTCCCTCCTGGAACTAGGCATCCAACCTGCGGGTCTCCTCTGGGGGCAGGGTGCCTCTTCGGGGGCGGGGCTTCCCTTTGAGGTGGAGGGTCCCCAGGGGCTGGCCCTCAGGATGTGGGGGATAGTAAAGGGGTTTCCTCCTGACCCTGCTGAGGGGA